CAAATTATGCCAAACTTCATTTCCTTCCTCATAAATTGTACCAGCAAGACATTTAGCAATGTTTCACAGTATCTTCATAGTCAAAGTAGGAGATGTGGGAGCTAGGATAGTATTCTTTTTATTTGAAATTATAAATGTTCAGAGTGTGTTCACAGTCCCTTGCACTTAGGTTCTCAGTACATATTTCTTTAGTTTTTAATTGAATTTTATTTTTTAAAATGAAGATACACCTTCTTCTCTCCATCCCACTTCCTCTTAACCCTTACTTGAGAAAGCAAGAAAAACAAAATCCTTTATTACAAACATGTTAATACATGTTTGTTGAATTGACCAAACTCTGTCCTTGATTGTGTTCTTTACAAGGTTTTAATCAATGACTGGATTTGCTTATCAAATTTCCAAATGACATGAAGCCTGTAGAGAGAGCTAATACATTGCATAACAGAATTGTAACCCAAAAGTACCTCAACAGAATGGAAAAGTGGCCTGAATCCAGCAAGATTAAATTTAATAGGGTAAATCTAAAATCCCACACTAAGGTTACATTTTTTAATCAAACTAAACAGGTACGATACAGGACAGTTATGACTTGGCAACAACTCATGGCAGACTTCTGGGGATTATTAACTATGGCTTATTTTAGGCAATTGTATAATGGTTCAGTTTAACATACAAACATTTGTTAAGTACTCGCTATGTGCAAGACACCATGCTAGCCAGGTATTAATGATGCAAGGATAAGAACAAGAAAAGAGAAAAGAAGAACAAAGAAAAGAAAGAAAAAATCCCTTGCCTTCAAAGGACTTAACAGTCCACTTTTCAGACTGAAGAAAAAAAAAAGGAAGAAAGAAGGTAAGAAAAAAAGAAAAGAAAAGACCAAGTGTCTCTTTAAATTCAAAGTCAGAACTCAGTGAGATTGAGATAGTACAGTTACTCCCTTGAACTCCCCCCCTCCAAAAAATGAAAAAAATAAACCTTTTACCAGATAATAATAGCATTTAGCCAATTAGTAAAAGAACAAAACCCTTTTGTGGTAGTACCTACAATAGATCTTTTTTTGGAATATCCATGACTAAGGTCTAGAGGCCTCATCAACCACTTACGGGCAAAGTGTTAGGCAGAACTCATCCCCACCTCACCTGCCATATTAAAGTTAACAAAGAATACTTTTAGTGTTCATAACTAGAGAAGTACCCACTATATGCTGGCTTGACCAGACCATATCTCATGTATGGTAGGCAGAATCAGTGTTTTAGGGAAGGTGCTAACAAAATAGAAAATGTCCGGATTAGGCTAAGCAGAATAGTGAGGTAATGCAAAGCTGTTATATTCAGTTCAGTTCAACATTTGGTGCCTGCCATATATAAAGCATTGTGGTAAGGGTAGGGAAAATAGAACGGTAGGCAAGGTGTTCTCCCTCCCTTCATAGCATTTATAATCTCATAGTAAGGGTACACTAAATAAATGACTAACTTTATAAAGTGGAATGTGAGCATAAGAGATACCATATATAATGATTTAGTCCAGTCCCTCAGGTTTTATAAGTCCAAGTGTAATACTCTTTTCACCATCTTGAGGTTCTTTAAAATACTTTACCTTAATCCTTTGGCTTCTGTGGTGGCCACCAAGACCTACCTCTATTCTTATCCATGCAATATTTCTTTTTCTGGGCTTGCCGTCATCCATCCCTCATCCTTTATTTTTGTGCACCTTTGATACTGCCTGTGTGACCTTGGAGAAATCACTTAACCACTCTGGGCCACTGTTTGCTTGTCTACAGGAGTTAGAACAAGATGCTCACTGAAATACCTTCAAGCTCTAGATCTACCAGTGGATCAGTAAATATTTATTAAGTACCTACTGTGGGCTAGGCACTGTGCTAAACACTGGGCATACAAAAATAGTCAAAAGACAGCCCCTGCCCTCAAGGAGCATATAACCTACTGGAGGCAACATGCAAATAAATATATACAAAACAAGCCATACACAAGATAAATGGGAAATAATTAACATAGGGAAGGCTTCCTGTAGAAATTGGGATTTTAGTTAAGACTTAAAGAAGCCAGAGAAATCATTAAGCACAGTTGAGGAAGGAGACCATTCCAGAATGTCTAGAGCCTCAAGATGAAATGTCTAATTCATGGAACATCCAGGAAAAGCTAGTGTCACTAGATTGGAGAATATGTGAGGAATTGGGTGTAAGAAGACTGGAAAGGTAGGTGGGGGCTAGGTTAGGAAGAGCTTTGAATGCCAAATAGCATTTTGTGCTTGCTCCTGAAGATGATAGAAAGCCACTGGAGTTTATTGAGTAAGGGGTGACGTGGTCAGATCTGTATTTTAGGAAAATCACTTTAGTGGTTTAATGGAGGATGGATTGGAGTGGGAAGTGACTTGAGGCAGATTTACCTACCAAAAGACAATTGCAGTAATCAAGTCATGAGGTGATGAGAGGGCCTATGCCAGAATGATGACAGTGTCAGGAGAGAAAGGGACATGTATATATTTCACAAAATTACTACTTTTGTGAAAAGTCATTTTTAGGCTAATCTACTTACTGTTTGGTGTGTTTTATTCAACATCTATTTTAAAATCTTAGTTTTAAGATTTGGGGAAAAATTATTTCAACAGTAAAAAAAAAAAGCCATTTTAAGTAATATTATACCTTTTGAAAGATATACTATGAGATGCTTGAGTTAAAAATCTTAAGTGTGGTTTCTTGTCCTTTTGCCTAGATGTTAAATTACTTGAACAGAAAATACTGTCCATTTCTACCACCTATGGTATTATTACATTGTGATTAAAAAACGAAAGGGAGTTAGAGCCAATTTTCTTATAGAGGTCTAAGTTAATTTTCTACTCATGAATAGCAAAAAAAAAAATTCTTTTCAACTTTGCGTAAATCCCAAATATTTACTGTGGTAGAAGGTACGTTAGACTGGAAATCAATAAAATCATAATGCCAGTGACTCATACCCTTTGTCCTATCATGTTGAGCAATGATGTCAAATTCAAAAGAAATAGGGACCACAAATCCATACATAAGCATCCCTGCAGGCCACATATTGACTTAGTTTTTAAATATAATGTTATCTGTGTTTTATTGTATTTTTATTTATTCTGTTAAATATTTCCCAGTTACGCTTTAAACTAGCCCAGGCCGCATCTCTACTGCAGAGGAGCTGGGTAACAGGCTGATACTGAGAATCAGTACTAGTTACTGAGCAGCTTAGACCATTCGCCTCTAGAACTTACCTTTGCATGCCCAGATAGTACCGCCAGTGAACTCCCAGTCTGACTGAAAGATGTAGCCGCCTCTCAAGTGCTCATACTGTAGGTTTCTATCTGGGTAAGTAGTTCTTTAGTAAAACTGCATTTTCTGTAACTAATGCCAGTCCTTTTAAGGCCAGAAGATTTTAGTTCAAGGCCAGAATTCAGGGACCAGCACTGATTTCTGTACAGCCTCTTAATATTCTTTGTATAGAGAGAACCCGAATGGAAGCTTTCCTTTCTGACCTATCTAATTAGTGACTTCACGTTACTAGCTCAGTCCTAATCTACCCATGCTAGACAAAACCACCCACTTAGATCAGTTTACCTAGTGACAGTACTATCTTGTCCTTCTTATTACTTCAAGGCAGCTTTTAACCCCATCATTGATGGCACTTCTGCCTCCCAAATATAGTCCATTATGTTTTAGTCACTCATAATAGATTCAAACGCCCTGGAGTATCAACCAGGGCCATTTGAAGGAGACCAATGCTTCCCTTTTAAGGAGCTATTTTCAGATTGCATGGTCCTGTGAACATCACCAACTCAGAGAGCACTGGGTTTGGAATCAAGTTAGCTGGGTTCAAACCCCACCTCTCTGTTACCTGTGTGATTTTGAAAGTCACTTAACCTCTCTGAAACTCAGTTTCCTCACCTTTAAGTTGTGAGATTAGATTAGAAGTCCTTCTAAGTCTTTATCTATGATCCACAAATCCAATGACCATATTCATGGATCATAGTCCTAACCTACAGAACCAAGAGGCACTTAAGGGGGGTCATCTACCTGAACATATACCTGAGAAAAAATCCCATCATCATACTTCAGGAGTGGTCATCCAGCCTTTGCCTAAAGACCTCATTTAAGGCTGACTGTCACTTTGCAAGGGAGCACTTTCCAACTTTATGTTAAACCTTACTTTCAATGTATCTAAATATCCCTCTCTGCAGTTTATGCCCATTACTCCTAATTCTACCCTCTGGGACCAATCAAAGCTACTCTGATCACTCTTCTGCAGACACTTTTCACATACTTGGAGACAGCTATCATGTTCTTCTTTTGATTGTGGAGGTGATATAGTCCCAATGTACTCAATCTTAGTCAGAATCCAGAAAAATTAAATTATTCTTGTCAATAATTTAAAAGAATCAGCATTAAAACCATTCTTTTGGAGGCATGAACACCCATGCTACTCATGTCTCATTTTGGAAATTCTGCTTGACTATTTTGAACATAAGATTTCTATATTTGAATACAGCTTCCCAATGAACTAATAATGTGTTCTCCACTTATGGCATGTTGCCCACAGTGTTCCTGTATACAATAGAAGGTTGTTGGGGTTTTTTTATAATATAGCAGTCAAAAGTCATAATTTGTAGTAATGGTGTTATAATTAAGTTGTGGTGAATAGCAACATTTGTGTGTTTCATTTCCAGAATGATTCATAAAATATTGAAATTTATACAAACTCAATAATTTGTGTTAAATGTAATCCTCTCACTCAGTTTGCTTTTGCAGCTTGAATATTGCTTGGTTATAGGCATTTTTACATTTCTAAAAGTAGTATTCTTACAGAGTTGCATAAAATATCCATTAAAATAAAACACAGCTTAAGGCTGCATTTTCCTGGTAGACAATAAAATACCCAAAAGCATGTAGAGGTGGGTCTGTGACAACTGACAGCGTGTGTGTTAGTCAAGTTCATGACTAACCCCTTCTTTTCTTTCTCCTGCAGTCATTGGTTTAGCCCTGGGGCCAGGACAGAGCATGGCCAGGTAAGACTCATTCTGATCAAGAAAGAGTTCACACTGTCTATTTCGAGATTTAATGCTCTCTTTGATTAGCTTTGTGAGAATAAAAAACATAAATCCTACCTCTTTTGGTTTTAAGTAGAAGAGATTGTGACATCAACATCAGTGGCAAAAGAAAATTTTCTTTTCACTGATTCACTTAATGGAATGATTCTCAATAAAGATCAGAGTTCTGACTTACTATAGATTACCTCAGTAACTGATTTGACCTCAGTGGTAGTTCTTTGGGTCTCAAGTTTTGTCAAGACTTCATTTTTTTTTAAAAAAGGAAAGTATCAAAAGTATGTCTTCTAAAGAATAATGCTTGGTTTTTAGTAACAACAAGGTAAGCTAGACAGCAAATAATTTGAACTTGAATGGGATATAGAAATATTTGGCATAATTAAGGATACAGTACACTCATAGATGGTTTCTTTGGTAAAAATGATTTATTCATGTGCATGACTATGCAAGAACTAGATGACAAACCTGGAACTTGTTATTCCATTTTAATTGACTGCATATAAAAATAAGTTACCTGCCTTCTTTGTCCCTTGAATATAATAGGTTCTTAATTAGAAGCAGGCTCATGTAACTTAGAGACAAAGTTAGTAACAAGTTTTAAAGTAAATACATTTTATACTTTTCATTATGTTCCACCAAAACACTATGCCTGGTAGGTGGTAAGTCCCAGGAGAAGAGATAACTTACCTTTACTCACCTCTTCAATTGTTCCCTTTGCCATCAAAAGATATTAATTTTTTTTTAAATGGTTTGCTTATTGTGGAAAATCTTTTTTTAAAGGGAGAGGTGAGAATGCTGAAGAGTATGCTTTAATAGTTGTTTAAAGTTGGTAAAATCACAGGACTTTTAACTTTTAACTTCCATTCTTTGATGTCTCATCAATACTTCAAACTCATATGTTCCATAGGGAGTTTATTATCTTTCTCCTTAAACCTTCTGACTTCACCATTTCTGACTGTGGCACTACCATGTTCTTTCTCTGTGTTCCAAGTACATATCCAGAGCTTTTTTTTTTGGGGGGGGGATAGGAGGAAGGGGAGATAGAAACATTACCATGCAGTTTACCATAAAGCAGATTTTATTTTAAGATAACTTTTGACTTAAGAAATAGCCTTTGTTTTTCTGAAGTTTACTTTGATTCTTATTCTAAAATTTTCAGATAGTACATACATCTGACACTAAATGTTAATAGGGGAAAATAGCCTTATTTAAAAGGTATGCTGACTAAGCTGAAAGGTAAGAGCTATAACTTAATACTTATTTTTTCCTCTTTATCCAGATCAAAAATTCAGACATTCCACCTTTCCAATATGGTGATGTCCCAGCATGTACAGTACTTGTGATGTTACATTCATCACAGGATTCTTCTGCCAATAGAGGTCAGGTCAGTTTATATTTTCTCCAAAAATGCATGGTTTTCAAAAACTGATTTAATACCCTTTGGGAATCATTTTAAAGTAATACTAAAAGCACCTTATAAATCCATGTGTTTTGGGATAAAATATACCTTGATATCTCCAGGCAGTCTTCCTTCTTCAAAAACAAATATTATCTGTAACTGGGAAAAATAGTAAAATCAAAAGTCAGAGGTTTTTTTTTTTTAACATTCTTATTTTAAAAGATAAACATTTATTGAAATTAGAACCTTATCTGTTGATGACCCTGTGGTCTTCCATTTTGATGTTTCAATAACCACTGCTCTAGAATCTTTATTTGCCTTGATTTTTGGCCATTCTTGGCCTACTAATAATTTTCATCCCTGGGCAACGCCTACTATCAAGTTTCTTACCCTCTGCTTCTAGACTGCCAAAAATCAGCAGAAAAAGAAAACAGCAGATTTCACTCTTGACATGTTTATAACCTCATTTTAGTCTTTGATGCTGCTTGACATTCCTGCTCCATCCTTCTTGACTCACTCTTCATATTGACTATTCCAAACCTTTTCCTCTCCCATCAGACCCCCAACCACATACTTGCCCTCCCCTATACATACACACATGCACATATATTTATAACAGATAGCTTAGCCCCTTTCTTCTCTGAGAAGTTGAGACCACCAAACATGAATTCTCTCAGCTCCCCATTTCCATTCTTCAGAATATTACCACACAGTCACTATTCCTTCTGGTAAGAGTTATCCCTACTCCTTGTTAAGATTAATTCCTTTCTCTGTACCACTGATACCATATTTTCTTTACCAGAGGTGTCAAACTCAAATCCCAAGTACGGCCACACTACATTAAAATGTAATTGGAAAATGTTTAATAAAATAAATAAAAATACAATGTTGTTTTCAGTCATGTCTGATTCTTTGTGACCCAAGAACTCAAAAACTTTGAGGTTTTCTTGGCAAAGATACTGGAGTGGTTTGCCATTTCCATTTCCAGCTTATTTTACAGATGAGGAATCTGAGGCAACAGACTTAAGTGACTTGCCCAATGTCACATAGCTATTCAGTGTCTAAGTTGGATTTAAACTCAGGAAGTTGAGTCTTCCTGTCTGCAGGCCTGGCACTCTATGCACTGTGCTACCTAGCTGTTAATTTCTAAGTCAATATATGGCCCACAGGAATCTATTTCTATTTGAGTTTGACACCATTTCTCTTGACTACCCCTAGATTCTCCAGTAGTTCTCATATCTTTCTCATTTATCCATAATATCTCCCTATAACCTGGCTCTTTCTACCTTTAAACATGCTCATCTTCCCAATTCTAAAAATCCCATCTAGCCCATTTCTGCTGCCATCACTGCTAAGCTTCTTCAAAAAGCAGTCCACACTCAACACCTTCATGTCAACTCTCTTCTATTTCTACTGCTTCTATTCATAGTATTGTATTGTGCTGATAGAGGACATCAATGACCTAATTACCAAACCTGTGACCTTATTTTTTTCAGTACTCATCCTCCTTGACCTCTTTACCTCCTACTTGACTTCACAGGTGTCATGCTCTCCTGGTTCACCTCTTAAACACTTAACTGCTTCTCCTCTCTCATTCACAGACTTTTCATCTTCCTTGAGAGGAACGATAACATACTATAGAGAGTGGTAGGCTTAACGGCAGAGCACCAATACCTTTGTTTAAATTCTGTATCTGATGCTTATTAGCTCTGTGACCTTGGCAAATCACTTATGCTTCTTATCCTCAGTTTTCTCATCTGTAAAATGGAGAAAATACCTGTAGTACCTACCTTACAAGTTTGTTATAAGGCTTTATAAACTTTAAAGCACTAGTGTCTGTTAATATTATTTCTGACCCCTTAAAGGTGGTAATTCCCCAGAGTTCTGTCTTTTGTCCTCTTCATAGTCATAGGTGTAGGGTGTGTTCAGGGAAGACTCGTACCTCTGATGTGATGGATGCTGAACCTTTTTCAGGGCTGCTTTCCACTTTTGGTGTCCACCTGTTTTACCTAACTCTAACCTGTGGCTCCAAGAAACTGTAGCATGTGCTATGGCCACACCCTGGTCATTCATTTAGGCAGACAGGCTAAACCAATTTGAGGGTAACCGAGGGGTCTCAAACCCATTGGTGAGTTAGGGGAGTGTCTACCCCAAGCATGTGAAGTCTTCCCCTGGTCAAATGGGCAGATGAGAACAATTTGTTCCAATGATCATGAAGGCAGCTGAAGCAGGTGCTATGGAGCACTTAGAACTTGGTTAGACATCAAAGACACCAAGGTTAGCTACCGCATCTTCAGCCATCACCAGTCATCTTGATTCTGGCCTGCCATTGGACTGTGATGACTCTGGAGGAGAGAATGAGGCCGACGACTTCATGCAACTCTGCCTTACTTAAATACAGTTTATGCACGAATCAAAAGACATCACCCATACAGTTTTACCATTTTACCTTTTTCAAAGTCCTGTGGCAACAGGCAAGTGACTAAGCAATACGTACAGATACACTGGGAGCTATAGTCACAATCCTGCACGCAGGCAGCCCAGACCATAGGATCGTTTTCTCACTGGAAGCAGCAGTGAGATTTGGCAACTCCTTGGCTGCCTGAGCAGCCTTTTAAGTATTGCCCTGTTCATCTCCTGGTGTGAGGAAGAGGCTAGAAAAAAGTGCCCTAAAAATTGTCTACCTACCCAACCCTGGCCTGATTACCACAGCAGGCAGGGAATTCCACTCACCCTTGACACATGGAATGTGTGCACACTTATAGACAGCACAAAATCCAGTAGACCTGAAAGACAAACAACTCTTCTTGCAAGAGAAGTCAGCAGGCATCACATCCAAATTGCAGCCTTGAGTGGAACAAGCTGGCAAATGAAGGCCAGCTTATTGAAGTTGGAGCTGGATACACGTTTTTCTGGAGTGGCCATAGTGAAGGAGAGAGCTATGAAGCTAGTGTAGCTTTTACAATCAAAACTAATCTAATCAACAAGCTTGTATGCCTCCCAAAAGGAGTGAATGACAGTCTCATGGCAATGTGATTGCCGCTTGCAGGAAAATATGCCACCATCATCAATGCCAATGCTTCCAGCATGATGAACCCTGGTGAGGTGAAAGAAAAATTTTATGAGGATCAGGAGCGTGCCAAAAGAGGACAAGCTTAAAATTCTGGGTGACTTTAATGCTAGAGTAAGCTCAGACTACCAGACTTGGCAGCGAGTCCTAGGGAGGAATGGAGTTGGAAACAGCAACAGCAATGGTCACTTACTGCTGAAGACTTGTGCATTTCATGATTTTCTCATCACCAACACCGTCTTCTATTTACCTAAATGCAATAAAACTTTGTGAATGCACCCACGTAACAAACATTGGCATTTAACAACGTGATTATAAGGAGAAGACACAGTGAGGATGTGAGAGTGACGAAGGCAACGTGTGGCACAGAGTGCTAAACTGATCATAAACTTATCCTCTCCAAGTTAAATATTCATATTCAACAAAAATGGTGTCCCCAAAACAAAATGACTACAAGGAGAATTAATGTCAACAGATTATAGCTCTTCTCTG